ATATTTTGATTTTTTTATTTAATACTTTAATTTTAATATAACTACATCAATGCAGAATACCAATAGGGAGTATAAAATTTATAATTAAATTATTTTTTTAATTTAGATAATATAATTATTTTAGATTCTTTTATAATTAAAACATAATAAACCAAATTAATCTATATAATTATCATTGCTATCATTAAAAAATATTGTTAAGAATATATTTAATATTAAGGGGTAATACTATTTTCTAGTTTTTACCCTTAATAATTGAAATCAATTAAGAAAGCACTTTAGATAATAAAATTATAAGTTAAATAAAGAATCTTTTGTTTTTCATCATTGAAAATCATAATTATAACGAAAATTTGTATAGATTTAAAAAAGGTATAAAAATATGGTAAATATTAAAATAAATTGATCTATTGTGACTGAATGTTTGATAAATAAAATTATTTAATTAAGTGAAATCACAAAGTAAGTAACTTTTTTTTTTCATAATTCATTATCAATTGTAACATTTTTTCTATTTAATTTCATCTTTGAAGAATCATAAATAAGTTCGAATTTATTATTTAAACATTCATATACAAACTTTTTTGAATTGTAAAATTAAGGTGGAGGATATAGAGGATCAATTACAAGTTTTAAGAGATTGTCTATCAACTATGGCATAAAACCAGTCAATAATGGACCTGTTTATTCTAAACAAGGATTTGTGTTTGTTTCAATTAACCAAGTATTATATGAATCATCAATCATAAAATCTAATCCAAATAATTCAAATGTATTTTCTCTTTTTAATGGATCTAAAAGTTCAGCAACAGCTTAAAACTAATCAAAAGCAATTTATTTCATTCTTTAATAAACTTAATTGAATTTTTCTGGTGTTATGAATTTTTTGAATTCTTCAAATGATATTTTATTTCCTTTTTCAAATTTTCCGTAGTCCTCAGAATATTTTTATACAGCATCATTTGTTAAATGTATCATTTTGTTTGATAAATTATTTAGATTGAATTCTTTCGATGATGTTCTAATATAACCATCTTAATACCAATAGCCTTTCTATTAGCCATTAATCCCTGTAAAAAGTATAAAACATCGAATATCAAATTTTCTTTAGTTATATAATAAAGGATTGGTGATATATTGTTGAACAATAAAGGTTTTAGATAATCCATTTTTATGTTAATGATTTCCTTTTAAAAAAAAATTAACTTCATTAATATTCTAAAATATTTAAATACCATGTCCTCGATTAGTTAATTCTCCAGGTTTTACAATCCAAATTTTTTTTGCACTGAAATTTTCAATTAGATAATTTTCCAAATCGAATTTATTCTTTATGTGATAAGTTAAAGGAAGAAACTCAAATACATTTTATGAATTTAATTCATAATACTTTTTTAAATTTAGAAATAAATTCTTTTTGGAACCTAAATGAGTATTATTTTATATATGATTATGGATTTTAGTTGATGATGTAATTTCATATGTTCTAACATTATTGCAAAACTGTACACATTATTCATAATTTAATAATTTGTTCAATTTTCCAATATGTTTTTCTTATTAATTCATTTAAATTACTAAATTTTTAGGTAACAATTTTGCATAAGGATGAGAATCAATTGGAATATCTTAGATATCTTTTGAAATATTGAAATTATAATTGTTGTCTACTTATTCTGAACATGGCATTGTGATTATATAATTATCATTTCGTGAAGATTCCCATAGAAAATTGACATTTTCTTTATCATTTTCCACAATCAACCACCACCATCTTTACTTCAGTAGAGTCTTAACCAATTATCCATTGTTACTTTTTGAAACGTTAGCCTTATAATAATTTACAGTAGATTTTATGAATATACCATTTGATATATTGATATAATTATAATACTATCTAATATTAGCATATTTTTCTTAAAATTCAATTTCTTAACAATATTTTTCTCCTTCAAAATATATTCCATCAAATTTTGGTTATTTTTTTATAGATTTACTTCTAGATTTGATATATTTATTAGATGGAATTTCAGGCTAATATGATATCCTTGGTTTTAATACTCTTCTTTCAAGTGATTTTAATGTATTACCAATTAAAATACAAGAATCATCATTTTTCTCTTTTGATTAACTATTAGCCATTCTTTTTTATAAATGAGGTAATATATATTCTGCAGAATTATTTTATATATTTTCTGTTCTTAGGTTTTAATTAGGAGTAATTTTGGGCATCAATCCATATGTTTCCACTGGCTCTTAAAATTTAAATTTTGGAAACCTTTACTCATATCTTCTTTTCATAAAGTACTAGAAACCTTATGGAGAATGAGTTTTTCTCATTTTATTCTAAACTGCTTTGATAATTTATTATTAATAAAAAATGGATTAAAATAAGGAGAAAAAAAACGAAAAGAAAGCACCTTTTATTATTACAGCACCAAAATAGTAATGTTCATAACAAAAATAGAGTGATCTCTTCTGCTTACTAACACATTAGTGATTTTGAGGAAAAACCTAGATTTATTGTGGATGAGAGTGGTAACAAAGTATTTTAAAAATTGAATCCTCCTCCTGAAAAATCAAATGTGAAAGCAGGTTATACGGAACTGTTAATAAGAAAGGTTTCCTATTAGGAAGATCCTTATGAAAGAAAGGAGTGTCTAGAAAGATTTGAACAATTATAAAATAAAGTTAAAATACCATGTCCTTTTAAATGTCCAAGAAATCATAAAATCAAGGAGAAAGGAGATCTTAAAGAGAAAACTGTTGAGTATGGTAGAAAAGTTATAAAAAGAAACATATCAAGATTACTTAGTGCAACAAAAAGTAAAGAATAAACTGAGAAACTTAATAAATTAATGATAAAAGCTGATACATTGTTTAGATCAAGAAAAATTGTAACTAATGTAAAATAATAATAATAAAATATTTATGGTTTTGATAAAAACTTGTTTGCAAATGTTGATAAATGGAAAAATGTTTTAAATACTTTGGAGAAAAAAGAATAGGAAGAATTATAAAAATCAAAGTTATCATTTTAAAAATAGAGAGATGAGTAGAAATAATAATATGTTTTAGAATCTACTTAAAAGAGAAAAGAAAAAGAATTTAAAGAATTAAAAGACAAAGAGATAAAAGAATAAAAAGAATAAAAAAATAAAGAATTAAAAGAGTAAATAATGTAAAAAGAATTAAAATATAAAGAAATTCAAGAATAAAAAGCTTAAAAATTTAAAAAATATGAATAAGTATAAAATACATCTAAATTATCAGAAAATCCTAAAATTGATTTAACTCCTAAAAATAAAACAAGTTTTTCACATCATTAAGAAAGTAAAAAATAATTAAAACCTGCTACTCCATCCTCATTTTTAAAATAATAAAATTAATAAGAACTTAAAAATTAATCTTTTAATTCAATATCAAATACTTAAAATACTTAAGAAGTCAATAAATAAATAAATATTGTTAAATCTAATTAGATCTAACATTAGATAATATAAAAGTAAAAATCAAATGTTTAAACACCCAAAAGTGGTACATCTAAATTAAAGTATACAAAAGAAGAATAAATTGAAATTAAAAGTGTAAAATCCAATCAGTAGAGTTAAAACAAGGATATATAAAAAAAAGAAAATATTATAATAGATTAACCAAAATAAAATAAATCTTAAAGATCTCATAGTTAGAGATTAAGATCAGAAGAAGAAAGAAAATCAAATCATTATTCAGAAGAAAGAAAAGTATAGGAAAAAGATGAAAAAAGTAGATATTCAGAAGAAAGGAAATCAAATATATAAACACCAAAAGCCAAAAATTAAGAATATAATCAGAAAATAATAATGAAACCTAAAAATTTCACTAGAGCTGGTAGTTATAAAAATCCAAATATTCCAAAGTAGGACAATTCTCAAAAGACAAAAGTTAGAGCATCATCATCAGGAAAAAGAATTTAAGAAGATAAGCCACTAAATTTAAATAATATAACATTACCTAATAAAATTGTTGCATCTAACCATATGTAAGATAAAATCGATTTAAGCAAAGAAACATAATTATAAAAGATAGATTAACAAGAATAATTAATAAATGACGTCAAAATTGATTAAAATTAATAAAATTTAAATAATTCAAATGAACAGGATATAATTAAATAACAGGATAATATAAAAGATAAACTAAATGAAGATTCACAAATTATTAAAGATGTTAAAATATAGGAGAATGATAGTCAGATTAATAAAATTGATAAATTAGATGAAGATCCTAAAAATGATACTATTAATAAACTAAAGGAAGATTTATAGATTAATAAAGATGATTTACATATTAATAAAGATATTAAATCAAATGAAGATATAAAGATTATTAAAGATGATAAAATATAAGAGGATAATTCTATTATTAAAATTGATAACATAAATTAAGATCCTCCTATTGATAAACCAAATTAAAATTTATCCATTAATAAAATTGAGAAAGTAAATGAAGATAAATCTATTAATAACAATGATAAAATAAATGATGATGATGTAATTGTTTCTAAAGAAATTGATAAAACGATTGAATTTATTGAATAACCTATCAATAAAGGTCTATTAAATATAAATGTAATAGTAATATTAAATAAAGGATCCTCAAAAGAATATGAACGAAAAAGAATAAAAAATGACTGAATTAGAGAAATAAATGAGTATAATGGAAAACTCAATACCACTATAATCATAAAATTAGAAAGGTATTTCTTAATTTTAATCAACAAATTCATTGTTAATAAAATAAGAATCTAACATTTTGAAGGAATCTTTATTGACTGAAAGTTTTGTTGAATCATAATTCAAAGAAACAAAGGGATTAGATAAATAATTACTAAGTTCTTAATTAAATGACCAAGATTCAATAAATTTATCAGAATCATAAGCAACTCTAAAATCAACATTGTAATAGAGTTAATTTTAATAAAAATAATAGTGAATTTTATATATTATAATGAAATAATTTCATTTTTTTTTGCCTCTTTTTTTTTTGTATTATTCCTTAATATTATATGACTCATCTTGAGAATCTTCTTTTTCATCTTCTTTTTCATCTTCTTAATGATCAACTATATTATCTTCAACCTTTTATTTATTTAATAATGAATCTTCAGATATATCCTAATCACCATCTAAAGCTTCTTCTGAATCAGATACTTTGTCATTATTAGATGATATTTCTTCTTCAGATGCATTTCTTTTGATTCTTTTTTTTCTATTTTTTTTCCCTTTTTGATTTTTCAATAATTCTAATAAATAAAATAAGAGAATACATTCAACATCATTTTCATTTGCTTCATCTCCAGTATCATCATATTCATCTTACATTCTATTTGGATATGGCATAATTGCTTTAGTTTTCAATTTATGAAGCCATTCATGATAAATATCTATAGGTTCATCTAATGATCGAATTTTCATATCAAATTTTGTTTCACATCTTTCACATTCTAATTTAGCTGTTTTATAACCTTTTTTTCTAGAGATGAGATATTAAATAATACATACATTTTAATAATAATGCAATCTTTCCATCCACAAACAGCACAATCAAAATATGCTTTTGGTTTCATTAGTTTAGGTTTTTTTAAGACTTTAAAAGTTCTTTTTCTTCCTCCCATGAAATATTAATATTCATAATTCTTACAAATTTGAGTTAGCTATCATATCAAATAATATAGTACTTTTTTGTTTGAACTTCATAAAAAGTAAGTTTAGTTCATAAAATTATTTATAATTTAAATTAATTTTTAACGAATGTATTATCCAACTTGTTAATCATATTAATCTTGTCACATTCCTTTAACTTAATGTGTGACTTAATAATAATGCTTGGTATAGACAACTTAACCAGATATTAATGGGGCTATAATAAATGAAAGAGAATAATTGAGAATGTAATTAATGGAATTAGAAGACAGATATCATATTGATATTGAAGAATTAAAAATAAATCTTCTTTCTGAAAGTGAAAGAATTTTAGTACAATCTTATTTTAATATTATAGTAAAAATCATTAAATGAATTGGTTTAATAATATGAACCTTAAATTCATTAAAAGGATTCTTAAATTAATATATTAACTCAAAAATTATAAGCAGCAGAAACAACATTATAATAAGTATAATCAGAAAATTAAAAATTAAAAGAAGTTGTATTTAAAAAAAAGGATAAAATCAAATATTATAAATAAGAAATGGAAAATTAAAATAATTTTCATATTCAAAAATTAAATGAATAAGAATAATTTTGGAGAGAAAGATTGAATAAAGAATTAGTAATATATTATCTTATTATATTTAGAATTAATAAAAATAAATATTATTATAAGAATTTTAATTTGAAAAGAAATCATTAGAAGATTAAATTTATAAATTGAAATCTTAATTAGCATAATTTGATGAAAAATATCAACAAATTTTATTTGAATTAGAAGTATTATATATAATTAATTAATTTAATAGAAAATAAAATAATAATTATAAGAGAAAACACATGAATGTGAGGAATGGAAATCTAAATGTAGAAGATTAGAACATATGGAATCAATTAAACCATAAACATTAGATCATTCTCCATCTAAAGATAGAATATTAGAATCAAGAATTGAATAATTAGAAAGAGAAATTAGAGTTAAAGATGCTAAATTGGCAAAGAAAAAGGATAAAGTATAGACAGTTATTCAACATGTACCTTAATAAGTGATTGTTGAAAAACCTATTGAAAGAATAATAGAAATTGAAAAGATTGTTCCAGTTGAAAGAATTATCAGAGAAAGAGTACCTGCAAGATAACCAATTGTTGTTTAATAATAAATTTAAAAGAAAGTAGAAAGTGAATCTGAAGATGAAGAATTAATTGAAGAAATTAGAATATTAAAGAGAAAGATTGTAGAATTACAATAAGTAATTGCTAATCTTAAAATTTAATTGGAGGATTCTTAAAATGATAGAGATGATTTGTATCAATATACATCTAAGTAGATAACGTAATTATGAGATTTTATTGGCTAAAGTTAGACAACTAGAAGATTTATTACGTAGTAGGAATAGGGAACTTTAAGATAAAGTCAGTTCTTTATAACATGTCAAAAAAGATGAAGATAAAATTATTGTCCATGTCAATCAAGGTAAAAATAAAACAAGTCATGTTGTTAAAAGATGATGAATACATTAAAAAACTATAATATCTTATTAATTGATTTAAAAAAGTTATTATTTCATTTTTGAATAAATCCTTCTCTTACAAATTTAGCTCTGATATTTTTTTAATTATTTAACACTTCATTTGAATAATATCTATGAATATATTTTAATGTTTATTTATAATTTTTTTTTAATTTCTTAACTAAGATGAGTTCAATAAAGAATACATAAAAAGTAGATGTAAAAAATAACATTAAACATCTATTTTTTAAGATATAAAATACATTGATAGAATATCTAGAAACATTTCATTATCTGCATATAGAAAGTATTATTCACACCATAGATTAAGTGTAAGTTATTCAATTTCATAAGCATTGTTTTATACCTAGTATAGGTGTATGAATTACTTCACTAAATTCAAATAATGTATTTAAAGTTGGTTAATCATATCTCTTATCATTTGGATTTATAAGAGATATTGCAATTTAACTTAATAATAAATGATATTGATTTAATCCTCTTGTAAATGCACCACTTAATTTATATTTACAGGAATCATACTCATCAACTCTTGTATTTGGCATTATTTCTATAGTTATATCAAAATAAAACCTAGAATTAATTCACAATAATTTCCATAAAACATTTAAAATACTTGATCAATATTTGTTTCATAAATTTCATTTTATTCATCTTGAATTTAATTAATAAATTCTTAAACATTATTCTTAATCTCATTAATCACTTTATTAGAATTATCTATGTATTCATATATGTAGAGTTCTTTAATGCTAATCATAGCATAAAGATGACTACGATTCTTTACAAATTAATTTTCATTGAATATTTCTAAAGCTCCATTTTAAAAAGCTTAAAGGAATAATAAATAATAGAAAACAAAGGATGATATGATTAGACTAAATAATAAGTAATACAATAAAAAAGAAATCTACATAAATTATTAATTTATTACTTTAATTTTAATCCATTAAGCTGATTCTAAATATGAATTAGCTTTAGCATTAATTTATACACTTAATTCTTAATTATCATATTTAGTCTGTTATTCACAATATGATGTTTGGGTTGTTTTAGAGTTCAAAAATTTCATAGTTTCTAAATCAATCAAAAATCTTAATTACAATTTTAACCAGGCTATATACTAAATAGATGTAACTATTTATGATTTTGATAATAAATGTAAAGTTTTGATAATAGTCTATTAATAAAATACAAAAATACTTTATTTTTATTAATGACATTCATTATTAAAAATTTATTTGCAATAATAAAGAATATAGTTAAACAAATTGTAATAACAATCTCAAAAATAGCAAATTGTTAATATTCAAGTAATCTATTCATTTAATTATTATATTATTATTAATAACTAAGAAGCAAACCTACTTAAATATTTGGAATTATTATAGATCTCAATTCATCTAATATATTGAATTAAGAATTTATGACTTCCCAATTAGATTAATGCCATTAGTTTAAGATATTCATAAATTAAGCAATTAAGTCATTTATGGGATTATCAAACATTTAATAACCAAATAAAATTTCTATAAATTCTTTACTATTAAGAGATTAATTGATAAATTAAGTTTATTACTAAAGAACCTCTGATTTTTATTATAAATATTCTTGTATTTCAATGTCTGTTGTATTTTATTAATCAAATAAATAAATATCTAAAGCATATTCATATGTTTAGATCATACATAAAGATAATCTTGAAATAAGTTACAGTTATTAAATCTCTATTATTATGAAAAGTTACTTCAGAATATATCTGTTAATGTTAAGTTAAAGATGGACCTTTAACAAAAGCTATTGCTGCTAATAAGTATAGAGTAATTATCATTATTCTATTAAAGAATATAAAAAAAGTTATTTCCTTAATTTTTTTAGTCACTTTGTTGTTATCTTATTTGAAAAATATGTTATTTTCAAGTTTTAGTACAACTTCAGTTGGATGATATTAGACAAATTCAGGAAAGACTTATCCTTCAGTGAGAAATGATTTGTTTTAATCAATTCTATTTGAATCAACTTCTGAGTTATTAACTTATAATATTATTAGCAAATATATGTACATTATTATTGAATTCCAAATATTCTTGGATCCATATACATTTCTACTAATGATGGCCTAGATTATTTCATACGAGATTCAGCTAGAACATTATGAGTCTTTAATATATATATATATGTATTACTTCTCTAAATTATCTTTGATGATATTCAAATATCTCATATTTATTAATTTTAATAATTGTATATTTATCCATAGAAATAGTTTTAGTAAAATGAATGGTTGCATCTAATTTAATAATTTTTTCAAGTAATCTATTTTATGAACAATATTTTTCAAATAGATCTCTTAAGTTATCAAACATTTATTTCAATTATCTTTAATTAAAATCATATAATCTACGAAAAAGTAATAATTTATTAATTTTAATTTTATTATCTGCATTTCTAAAGATTAATTTATTCTTTCTATTATATATAGTAGATAAATCATTTTATTAGATTGCATCTTAAAATGTAGATGCTTTTAAATATTCATATTCTTAATTTAATTAATTCATTTTTTTTGGTAATCTAAGTGTTAATTTTACATGTTATTCATCTACTATTTTAAATAATCTTTAATTTGTTTATGGATTTTCTGTATTAAAATATTCAATATTATCTTCACCAAAAAAAGCAAATGATTAATCTTCATATTCTGAACCTTTTTTATCAAACTAATTTGTTTTCTAAGAATTTGTTAAGTTATTATAATTAACACTATCAATAGAATTATAATATTTTGATTATGTCATATTTAATGATTTTGATTATTAAGTTAATTTAAATCTTGTTATATCATCTGAATTTAAATAATGTCCAAATTTTGAAAATTAAAACAAACCTGTACAAAGTAATAGTAAACAAGTTTTTTATTCTAATATTTTAAATAGAGGTCTAGTAACAGCATCTACTTCCCAATCTCCATTTAAAATAATAAAATTTATCTATTCTAATCTTATTATAGGTCTAATCATAGCTATAAAATTAATTTAATTCTATTAATCTAATTACCATTTCAAATACTTTCTAGCTTATATTACATATCCTTATGAATGTCTAATAAAAATCTTACGACTTTTATGTAAAGTCTTACTTTTACCATAATACAATAATTATTTAATAGCATTTTGATGATTTCTTTATAATACTTCTGGTATTAATTAAGATATGGATTTTAAATTATCAAATTCTAATACTTCTTTGCAGGATTAACTAGATTTAATAATCTATCCATTAAGTAATGAATGAATAATCAAACTCATATGATTAAATGGTTTTGAATTATTAAATTATTCATAGACTTTAATCTCATAATCACTATCAGAATCTTCATTAACAATTTCCTAATGTAATGTTGCTGAACTTAAACTTTCAATTTGAGTTAATCTAACTTTCTTATTTAAAATAAATAATCTATACCTAAAATAAATATATATATATATAAAATACCAAAAATATATAAATTTCCATTTTAATCTTTTGCTCAAAAATGAAATTATAACATCCTATTATTTTACTCTTACTTCATGTTTTATAATATTCTTCCATAATTTATTACAATTTGTCATCTCTTGATCAATATCCATATTAATATCTATTTAAATCTATTCTACTTAAGGATTCTTAGTCAATCTTCTCCAAAATGAAGAATATAAACTCAATAATTTCAATATTACTTAATAAATTTAAGAGATTGTTTCTTCCATTTATATTACATATTCAAAATCAAGAAAACTATGATATGCAAGGCTATTTAAATCGTTTGCATTTTCATAAACCATTGAAGCCATCAATGTTAATCTTAATTGCAAATGAATATTCAACTTTTTGTTTAAAATCCATTATATTTATTCATAAGCCTAAATTTTGTTTTTCATTTTGAAATATAGAAATTAAGCATAAAGAAATCTCAAATCTATATTTCTTGGTTAATTTTAAATTAAAGTTTCATATAATGATTTAATCATAAGTTTAGTGAAACTAGATCTATGATTTCTGATTGCTTAAATTGTTTTTCTAATATCCTTTTATAATTTTGAATCAAAAGTTATTTTCATTGTACAAAAACATCTCATTCCAAATTCTGTATATTAATTTTAACATTTATTAGCTAAATGATGATAAATATGTCCAAAATAAATTAAATCACCTACTTTATTTACTATTTAATTGTTTTTCTAAAATTCTGTAAATACTTAAACTTTGAGTTCCAATTATTTTACATCCTTCGATTCTTAAAAAAAGGCTTTTATTTAAAGTGCTCTTAAAGATGTTTTGAATATTGTCCATACTAAACCATAAAGGATAATTATTGCAAATAAAGGTTTTATATTAAATAGAAAATGCAAATATAAACCAAAGGAAATACAAAAATACAATAAGATTGATTAAGTAAATAGAAATCTAATTTAAATTCTTTAATAATGTTAAAAGTTTAAATTATTAATTATTACCATTATTAATATTATACTTGACATCAAATTTAAATATATGATAAAATGCTATAATATAGAGTATTAATTATACATAACTCCATTCTATTTAATTAAATGTTATAAAGATAACATTTAAATATCTTATAAATATTAGTATTGTTATTGAATAACATTATTTTCTTGTTAATGCATCTCTTTTCTTAACCCATTCATTATAGTAAAAGATACTATAAATAATTGAAAATAACAATATTATTAATATAGAAACCATACTAAGAATTGCCAATACAATTAAAATGTTTTCATTTACTTAAATCTCTTCTTTTCTTTAAATAAAAGGAAAAATCGAAAGAAATATTATCATCATGGGATAAAATCCTAGGAGTGCAAAAAAGTCAAATGTGTGAATGAAAACCTGGTTTTGATTAAAGTATATAATTTACTTGTCCATACCATCTTTTAATTACTTTAGTCTCAAACTTACTTTTCTTTAGTTCATGTAAAGACAGCAAAAAGACCAAAATAAAACCAATCAAAATTAGAAATAAAATTGAACTTGCAAATATAACTATGTAAGGTTAATCAGTGTAAAAATGTATATTGCAATATTGTAAAAACTATATGATTTACTAAATTTGATCTTCTTTAATATTTTATTAAACCATTAATTTGTAATGCCTACTTATAAATTCTAATTCTACATAAAAAAAAGAGATTAGTAAAATAAAAATTGACCTCCCAAGATATAAAAGATTCCTAAATAAAGAGAAACCCACTTGGCTTTAAGCGATTAATTATACAACTGGAAAATGGCATAATTTAATTATAAATTATTAGGCATAAATAATTATTATATTTTTAATTAGACTAAGAAAAACTAAATTTATTTTAAACCATCTATGAATGATATTTAATAATTGCTCATCAAATTTCTTTTAAGTAATCATTATACTCTAATTATCTATATATTGCCTGATAAACACCTTCTAATCCCAAAGAAGCCTATTTTATTACATATATAGGTATCTGATTGAATATTTCAATTAAATGAAATCTATATTTTATGTAGTCTTACTAAAATGAAAATTTTTATAAATAATACTAAAAAATTAACTTATATATTATTAATTATGTAATTAGCAACATCAATAGATATATAACCAAACAAATAAATACCTCCATAAGGCATTGTATTACAAACAAGATCCTCAATTATTGGTTCCATAACTAGTTAAAAATAAATCCACAACTTTCTAACATAATTCATCTTTCTTTTTAACACCATATTGAAACACTTATATTGATAGGAATTATTTGAAATCATTCTTATCCTAAAATAATCAATCATAATATATATTACTTCAAATATACCTTTATAAATATCTTTTTCAATTTAAGATACCAAGTCTTTCCTTTAAAAAAGTATAAATATAAGGTATTGCTTAACCTTCCATTGCTTTTCTGCAACTATCTAACCCAAACCTAATCTCTTTCTTTAAAAATTATAGATATTCTATTTCTAAATCATTTGATGATGAATAACCTACTTCTCCTCCTTCAAAACTACAAAATTATTAAATTTAATACCAAATATTATATTCCCAAAAATGATCTTATTTCAAAGAAGGAATTAACCTTGCTACACCAAATCCAGCTCCAGGATCAATTACTGTTTGACTAAATTATCTTTTGGATTTGGATTTTTTGGTTCTATTTAATTAAGTCTGTTACTGTAACCCCAAAATACTATAAGCCACTGCCTAGAAATCATTAATTAAGAGAAATGGTTTAATATTGAGTGATTGTTCAATAGCATTTCCATCTACCTAAGACCATTTAGTATTAGCCATCAAAGTTGAATTATTTTTGATTGGTCCAGCAATACCTAATTAATATATTTATTTCAAACCTATAATTGCTATTTAAGGTAAATTATCCTTTTATACATCTTTCAAATATTCAATAATATAATCTAAGAATTGAGAATATAAATCTGTATTATAATATGTAAATTGTTTGAGTTAAGGAGTTATTTGATATGTCAATTTATGAGAGATTTTGAAAAGTTAGAGACGAATATTTATTCCTCCAACATCACCAATAAATTTCTTAATCAGGTTAAAGATCCTTAAATATTAGAGATTTCATTTTTTAATAAAATATATTTATTTATATAGATAATTCATTTGTATAATTTGCTATTTGCATTTTTTAATAGTTTGTTTATGTTTTATTATAATCCTACTAATTCTGAAAGATAACCATTACTTAAGGATGATATTTCTGTTTATTATAAATCTGATAAATGATTAGAGATTTTGATAATTTCTGTTAAAGAAACTCTATCTGTAATAGGCTTGCTCTTTCTAGAGAAATCAATGATATCAGAATTAGATTTAAAGGAGCCCATCAAATCTCTCTTTGATTAATAGGTCTTATAATTATCTTTATCAGTAAAGGATCCAAAAGCAGATGGATATATATTACTTCTTTTAATATCATCTACTGGGTTAGATTATTTTTGACTTGGAGAATAGATTGCATGAGTCAAACCCATTTTGATTGGAGATTCTTATTTTGGAAATTTGTTTTCCAAATGATTTTTTACATATGATGTTGATGATCGTAATGCTAATGCTTAAGATGATATTTTTTAATCTGAGTTCTTAAAATTATACAGAAGATCACTCTTTTAAATGAATTTCTGATTTTCAAATCCTTATACTCTAGATTATACTTTATCACGTATTCCTTTTTTGACATCACTCCATGTTTGATAATCCAATTTTTATTGTATTTCTGTACATTTAGTAATTGGAATATCAAATTTACAAGGAGATGATCTTATCTATTAATATAAAATGATAATTATACAGGAGAATATGTAGATCTCATTAACAGTTAAATTTATTATTAGTTTATTATTTTTTTATTAAATAGTCATTATAGCAGATTAAAATAAAAAAATAAAATAAAAATACTTATCATAGATTAATGATCAAATTTTTAATTATAATAAAAATCCTGTTAAAATTTTGCTCTTAAGATTGGAACTATTTTAAAATACCAAATTTAGATTGTTAAAAATGACAACAAAAAAAATACATATTAACATTTTATAAACTACTAATGATTTACCAACCAAAAGAAAAATAGAAACTGTTAAATAATCTAAATAGAAATATAATAATTAAAAACCTAAAGTATCAGATTTTAATGATTATGGATAATAAAAAAAAAGAGATTGGAAAGAATATTATGAAAAATAATTATTAGAACTTAAATCTTTATATCCAAATTCAACTCATAATGAATTAACATCTATAATTTCTAAAAAATGGAAAAAAGCAAAAAAGAATTTTTAATATTTTGATTAATTAGCATAATAAATAAAAAAGGAACATATTAATAAAGAAAGTGATTAAATACTTAATCTAGATGATAATTTATAAATTATATAAAATAATAAAGAATCAGATTAATTTAAAGATAAATTAAGATCTAGTTCTTTAAAATTGATTTTTTGTAATTAAGTATTTGAAATAAAAGGATAATTAATAATAGATGCTATAAATTAAAATAGATTAATAATATATCTTAATAATCAAAAAGATAATTAAAATACAAAATAAGAAGATACAAATAAATGTTTATTATCAATAAAAGATATTTAAGAATAAAATACAGAATCATAAGAGGATGATAATGATAATTTTTAAATAGTTAATAATATTAAGAATTATTTATGATGATTATAACACAATTATATGATTCTTCATTCAAAACGAGCACCTATTGCTTTTCTTTTCTTCTTATTAGGCATTACTATATCTCCATTAACAATTCTCTTTTTTGGAGGTTCTTCCTTTACTTCTGATAATTATTAAAACACTTTTGGTACATCTTTGTCTTTAGATGCAATTGTTTATTATTTAACTAAAGCAATTTCTGATTCTTTTTGATTTTTTAAAGAAATAAATTTATATCGCATAGATTCATATAAATCCATTGTAAAATCTTTTGAAACTTCAATTGAATCTTTATCTTAGATTACAAGACCTCCACCTAAATTCAAAATACTTTTAATGAAAACTCCTTGTGTAAGTTAGAATTCAAATAAAATTTTTAGATTTAAATTTTCAAGGATTAATTAATATTGATTACTTTCCAAAGCTTATTACATCATATCTAAAAATGAATTGAGTGTTCCTTTAATTTCACTTTTAGATCTCATTTCTTCTATATGTTTTTCAAGAATCTACAATAACCATATAGTTTAGCCATCATAAATTCTAAGCAATAAGGCTGGAGTACTTATGTCATGTTCATAAGTAAATAAAAATAGATATTTAATCTTATCAATCTAACAAGATGTGTAAAAATGATCTAATTTTAAGAATGCTTCTTTAATATTGCCTGACATTTTAATATAAATATTAATATAATTTCAAATTAATATAAAATTATATGGATTAGTAGGAATCAGCAAGATCGATAAACATAAGTTAAAGTTCAATTGATTATTAGTATAGGTTCTTCGCGTTATTCAGATAAATTCTAACCTTAATTAATTCATATAAACACTAATCATATTCAAAAGAACAAATTGGATAATTAAGAAATCAGTCCTGTCTATGAGAAATCGCATGAAGATATGACACATGATAAGTAAATGAGATAAACCAGAGTAAATCTAAAGAAAGCATCTAATTTTTATGTAAATCAATAAATATGTATCAAAGACAGCATCTTAATTCCCATAAGATAGAATGTAAAATGCAAGAGGCAGCAAAATAATGTAATTAATAAAATAAAAGAACTAATTAAAAAAGTTTAAAGATAGATTATTTTAAAATGCCCACATATATCCTCGTCATCCAAATGAATAATTAACTAATTTTTTGGAAGAGTAATATATTCATAAAATCCATCATCATTAAAAAAATTCATCATAAGAAACTAGATTTGATTAGGTTCAGATGGATTTATAAAGAAGTGTAGAAAATATTCATTAAAATCAAAAAATTCCAATTATAAATCCAACAGGTAAGTTTTATATGTTTTGGCAATTTTTAAGACTTATTTAAATTATGTTTTTATTATGGTGGGTACCATTCAAGATATCTTTTGATCCACCTAAAACTTCTGCTATGAATTAAATTGAAAATTTACTTATCTATTTATTTGGAGTAGATTTATTAATAAAATTGAATAGAGGTATGATTGATCAAGGACAAATAGTTTATGATAGATTAAAGATTGTTAAACACTATATCATATATGAATTATATGAAGATGCTATTTATTTGATTACATTAACATTTGTTATTGGAAATGATCCATTAACAATCTATTTCTTTCCTGAAATTATTGTATTAATTCAATTTACTTTAAATTTCATTAAACTAAAAAAAACTATTAATAAATATGGAGAGATGTTTGCAATATAATCAAATTTTACTGAATTTGCAAGTCTTTCTCAATTAATAATTTTAATCTTTTATTTTGCTCATTTTATGGCTTGCATTTGGTATTATGTTGGTAACATGAGTTAATCTTCCTTTTCAAATTCATGGATTCAACAATAAAATTTATAACATTCTGCAGTATTTCATAAATATGGTTACTCATTTTATTGGGCAACTGCTACTATGGTAACTGTTGGATATGGTGATGTCATTCCATAAAATATTTATGAAGTAGTATGTGCAATAATTATGATATTCTTTGCAAGTGTAGTATTTGCATTTTCAATAAATGCAATTGGAGTGATATTCTCTAATATTGATCTATAAAAGCAATCTTATAAGAGAAATCTACTATTGGTAAATTAATATATGAATGCAAATGAAGTTTCTTTATAATTATAAAGTAGAGTTAGGAATTATTTAAAATATTATTATGAATAATAAGTTAAAGGAAATAAATAAGAAATCAATTCAATAATAGAAAAATTATCTTATAATTTAAAATAAGAATTATTGGAAGATGTATAAATTAGAGCAATTACATGTGTTGAATTCTTCACTAAGAATTTTCAACCATCTACAATTCATCAAATTGCTTGTAGAATGAATATTCAATAATATACTCCTAGAGAAATCATTTTCTAATCAAACTCTATAGATGAAAATTCAATATATATTATTTAAAAAGGGGAAATTAATCTTATTGATAATAAAACTAATAAAATTATATAGAAATGTTCAAAAGGTTAATGCTTTGGAGAATTTGAATTTCTAACATCCTAAAAGAGATAAACCAAAGCTATCAGTACTACTTTTAGTTCAATCTATAGAATGAGTAGAGATACCTTTCTTGATATCATAGCTGAAAATTCTACTGATTTTTAAAAGTATTGTGAAATGAGAGATAAGATTTTATTTCATTATTAAGATCTATCTATTAAATGTGTAGCTTGTGAAGGAGATCATCTAATCAATGATTGTCATTATCTAACTTATAAACCTGATACAGAATTCCTTGTTAAAAAGTAATTGTTTAATTCCAATTAAGAGAGATCCTCATTCAAACGTAAGAATTTAAGATTCTAAAGAATATTTAATAATCATGAAGATCATGAACCACATAATAAAATTTAGTAACAAGATGAAATAAGTATTTCCTAAGAATCTGGTAATAGATAAAATTCTAGTGTACTTGAAAGTGAACATTAAAATATTCTATTTAATGATGAAGCTACTTAACATATAAAAAAGCGAATTTCATTATGGGTTACTAATCCAGATTAACCATAGATTGAAGATAAAAGTATGTTAATTTTATTAATGTAGAGTCTATTTAAAAGTCTAATCGACATAGTAGTGATACTCCTACAAATAAGTAAAATCGAAAATCTTTATTCAATTCCTCTTAGGATCATTCTAAAAGGCATATTAACAATTAATAATAATTTCTTTAAGTTAGTGACTAATTACAATTACAATAATAAGCTATGAATTCATCTAATAGTTCTTAAACAAA